TGATAAGGCCTTGGTGTAAAAACTGTTGATCAGCCCGGGAAATGATATGACAACGCAACCAACACATGAACAAAATGTATAGTATCAGAGACAAAAAGTGTAATAATGATGTAATATGAACCTGAAATGTGATTATCGAGTGAGGATCATGTCAAGTCATACATGTATTTACAAGAGTACATCACAAAATACTTGACTAGGCAAACGTGTAGTGGATTCCCAGGAAAGCATATACTTAGAATTCCCCATTTACCGGAAGACCGTTCTTCATATATGCTTTTGCAAACTGAACACGTTTATAGTACACAAGCAAAGATATTGCGATAAATTATCAAGTATTGTATATTTATTACGTCGCCTTATTTGGAAACAATGCATAAGAAAGCGACTTCATGTGTGTTATAGTTCTTATAGTCATAGTATCTACAGTAGCAACGATCAGAAATATTGACGTACAACTATATAGGGTGTGACTTTTCATAGATACTGGCGTTATTGGCGATACTGGCGGGTAAAGCACATAAGAGCAATAAATTCATAGAATTTTTGAGAGACATTAAGACAGATACATACACCTTAATGAACGCTTACCATTCCTTTTTGCGAGAGTTCATTTTGTCTTTGGTTTTGATTTGAAGTCTTTTCAGTTTGTTTTCTTTTTTGCGTGGCGCTTTGAGTCCCGTTATTTCATTCGTGTGTCTATACGGTGGCATACAGAGGTTAATGTTATACTATGATGTATAAACAACATATGTTAAACGCTTTAGTTTAAGTTTACTTATGTATTGTTGCTACGTTGATTATCTTAGATAATTTGAAATGTGTCAGACTGTTTATAAACAACGTGTGTTAGACGCTTTAGTTTATGTTGACTTATGTGATCGTATTAAAAATCTTTCAAATATTCTTCAATTTATTGTTGAAGCATATCTTTAACAGTCGAGGACAGTGTGGTGTTTACTAATCCTTTATTGACGCTATATATTTCCACCATGGTAGTTAAGGCATGTATATGCTTACTTTGATTAGAAAATGATTCTATGCATACATGTATGTTGCCTTTTGCATGTTTTCTGAATTTGAATTAATTTAACCATAAAGATTTAGAGGTTCCCCTGCTAGTGGTGGCTGTTCATTATGTTTATCAAACTTGAGTCAGTTTCTTTTGGACTAATTATTCATGTTTCCGATCGGGGATGCAATTTCCATGTATTATGGAAGATGACATTGCAAAACATTGATATTTAACGTCATAACCAGAAAATTGGCCTATAAAAGCATCCAGAAACCCACTAGTAGGTAACCACAAATATTCACCAACTCCTAGCAGGTTTATCCAATGAGTCGAGAGTAAGGAAACCGATAGTAGGTGTGTGTGTGTGTGTGTGTGTGTGTGTGTGGGTGTTAGAAACAAAGTTGGTTTAAACAATATNTGTTTCACGCGCTGATTAAACTCTTGTTTTCCAAGCAAATAAGTCATAGCTGTCATCATGTTTTATTATGAAAGACCGGAGAGCTTTGCTTCGTCATTTCCACACTAATCTGATGGATGACTGTACTCTTAAGTCGTGTCCATCACCAATTAAATATGTAACGGATTGTTTTTTGTTGTTGTTTACGAGTTTCAAAATATCAAAGATATTTTGTGAGGGGCGTTATTTATAAGTTAAACACGTATCATACACAGGTACGGATATAGGTTTGAGATACACCTATTTATGTAAGATTGATTATGCTTATAAATAATGGCGTAAACATGACTGAATGCTTTTGAAATGTCTTTCATCGCATGAATTGAGTTCTCAGCTAACATGATTTGACCTAACACCAGTTCTCAATTATTTATAGTATTGTCTTTGTTGTTTTACAGTTGTACTAATCAACCATCTCCTAAATAGGCAGAACATTTTCAAGCCTTCTACGATTGTTAGGTCGGCCTATTATCACAATCTATCGATAATGCTAGTCGGGTTTTTTCGCAAAATGACACATAGATGAAACGTTTCAGATAACCCTCGGACTTGAGTCAGTTTTAAATTATTTTAAAAGCATCAATTTGAAAGAGCATTCCGTTTTTTTGGTCTGAATTCTTCATAAACTCGAAAGTTAAATTCTTGCAAATGGTAAGCAAAATATGCTTGGGATTGAAATGGGATTTAGCTTTTGTTTCTCTACTTTAAAATAAATTAAAAAAGGATTGGAGAAGCATATACAATATCGTCAATACAAATTGACAAGGACCAAACTAAAACAACTACAACAAAAATGAAGGCATCGTAGATTCCATGAAAATCCTGATATAACCTATAGCTAAAGCCCCGGGAGGGTAGTTATTTCCTGCTTCACATCTGGCATCCGTCAATATGTCCCCTATTTAATGTAAGAGAGTGGTAAGGTATGATATTATGGCATATCTGATATTCTTCTTTATAAAGAATCAGGTTATACGAAATTAGTTTCCTTGTTTTGAGTTCCGAGTTCCTAATTGCTAGTTGACGCTGCGATTAATTTTCTCTTTGTATTATAAGACATCATTACATCGACGGAACAGAAGTTAAACATAAAACATATTACTTACTGATGTAAACAGGAATACATGACTGGTGCACAGGATATATGACGGGTAAACAGGAATGCATGACGGGTAAACAGGAATACATGACTGGTGCACAGGAATACATGACGGGTAAACAGGAATACATTAGTAGGGATGGCAGTGGAATATGCACCAACGTGTCACCACAAAGGATAATATTAGACTTTAGTTAGACAGGAAAAACAGGACGAGGAATCATGGGAGCCGAAACCAAAGCTAAAATATACAAGTTTTATATGAAAACATCGGACATCGATCAAAACTAAAAATTTCTCCTGCTTGCAAAACGCTTGACATTGACAGCACTCGGCATCAAAGATGTCTTGTTGATGCATATGTTTAGCACCAATACACTGTATGAAACTATTAAATACTCAGAGTAGTGTTTTTCTTGTATCCATTTGGAAAAATGTCGAATCTCCGTCAGTCCCAGTTTGTGACTATAAAATGCATTAACAGAAAAAAACCAATATTGACGTTTTTCAGCCCATAAATATTATAATGATAATAGGGTTCGTTACACACTTTGCGTTGATGAAAACAAAAGTTTTATAAACGTTGTATGATATAAATATATATCGGAACAGAGTCTTGCTAAGGGGATATATATATATATATAAATTCCACTTGGTCATTACTCATGGATATGAACCGGACTTTTAATTAACACTGTCAGAATGCATCACATCAATATACACAAGGACATTATCAAAATAGAAAGCCGAAATTAAATATACCACGTCATCCTTACTGGACGGCGTGATTTGAACTCATTTTAGTACGGATAAAACCATAGCAGAAACTAAGGAGACAAAAGTAGATGTCACTAAAACCAACAAATATCCCTGCGTTTAGTATTGTGCACCCAAAAAGACATGTTTTCTGCAGCGACAATGAAGGGTTATCCGCAATGGTTGTTTAAAAGCAATTCTCTGTCTGTAAATCAGTGTTTTCTTGTTGCATTCTTATATTTTAATATATAGATAAGTCAAACTTATAAACTTTGATATGTTTATAGAACGTTATCCCTAAATCATGATTCCAAGTACCAGATTAACGGTACTAGAGCATTTAATTACAAAGCAAGCAGAACACTCCTTTTCAATCGTCATGGAAGCGGAAATGAAGTGTTATTATAATTTCATTACCAAATGCAAATGCATAGCAACTCTTTTTATTTATAAATATTCAAACTCTGATTTTGGTCTTTAAAAACTTCTATTGTAAACCAGTAGCAGCCCTACAAAACCAAAGCGTATTTTCACGAAATCTTAAATATCTTTTTTCTGGTGACTTTTTGATGTTGAGGCAATTCGATCAAACTGTAACTATTCCAGTGCTTGTCATTTGTAATACGCTGTTTCATATATGGTTGGCTGTAGGAGTTAAACGTGTTGAGTGTCATTTTGTCGTTGTCTTTTCGAATCTTAGTATCAGAGCTCGCAAAAATATGCAAGGCGCAATGTGTTGTCAATGTAACCGTAAAATAGCCAACCCTTTGAAACTATCCATATTTATATTTTGGATTTCATCGTAACAATCTGCAAGCTCGAAATAACCAATAGATAGCAGTGAGGATTTGGAAGTGAAACATATTGAATTGTCGAAGTGTTATATTTTCACTCAGATCAGAAGAGTGTAATTGCGGCATTGCGAAATTGGTGTTATTTCCTGAGTTTCGCCACAGAAATGTACCGGAATTATGTCTTTGTATCACGTTAAAGTTAAGATTATTTGTGAATTCGCAGCTCAAGACGTTGAAAACATACCGAAAAAACCGGGTTGAACACTTACATAACACACAGGGTTGAACGCTTACAGAACAGAACGGGCTTAAAGTTTGCAGAACACAAAAGGTTGAATACTTACAGAACACTTATACGATAAACATGGCTGAACACCTACATAACACACAGGGTTGAACGCTTACAGAACAGACCGGGCTTAACGTTTGCAGAACACACAGGGTTGAATACTTACAGAACACTTATACGATAAACATGGCTGAACACCTACATAACACACAGGGTTGAACGCTTACAGAACAGACCGGGCTTAAAGTTTGCAGAACTCAAAAAAGGTTGAATACTTGCATAATACGATAAACATGGCTGAACACTTAGATAACACGCAGGGTTGAACGCTTACAGAACACAAAAGGTTGAATACTTAAAGAACACTTATACGATAAACATGGCTGAACACCTACATAACACACAGGGTTGAACACTTACAGAACAGACCGGGCTTAACGTTTGCAGAACTCAAAAAAGGTTGAATACTTGCATAATACGATAAACATGGCTGAACACTTACATAACACACAGGGCTGAATACTTACAGAACAGACACAGTTTGATCACTAAAGACACACACAGTTAGGTTTGAACACATGAAACAAGGGTTTGAGGAGAAAGGTCTTTATTCGCAGTGTTCGCTAGGTATCCATGACAGCAAACACCGAAAAGAAAACAAACACTGGTATTAATTAATCCAAGTCAGTGTCCTTGCAATTAACCTGCGATACTTGCGGTTTCATATATGGTGATTTCTTGTCTCATTTGCACTGTTTATATTCACACAAACGTTGATGGTTACCATTTTCTGTTGCATTGTCTTGAGGTTATTTCATGGCTGCCTACCACAAGCTTGTTCGCTAAAAACGCAAGAATTACCATACAAGTTAGATACAGTTGGTGAATATCTTTTTGTTACAGAATCCATCCTTGAGGTCTGCATTGGCCGATAAATTCTGCTCAGAGAATTGATCGATACAATGGCTGGTTATGCATATATGATTGGTACTGAGGCAATCCCAGGTACTGGCTGTTGGTAAATGGTTGTTGTATTGCAGCATTCAACACATAAGATGCTCTTTGGACATTAGGCCGTCTGACGTAATATCCCGTAGAGGTAGCACTTGGCTGATATGACAAGCCAGCTACGATGTGCGGCTGGTAAACCGAGTTGACATAACCGGAAGTATAGCTTGGCGACACGGAACTGATATACCGTACATTGCCATTGACGTATGCACCGGTCCCACTTGGTAAATAACCAACCGTTCTTGTAATGGCAGGTGGGCGTGTAATCATATTAACAGTTCCCCTCGGTGTACCTCCCGCGACCCGCCGAATAGAACCAGCCCGTGTACCTGATGCAATCCTCCGAATAGAACCAGTCGGTGTACCTGATGCAATCCTCCGAATAGAACCAGACCCGCTGTTTCTAACAGCAGTTGACGTCACAGCTGATCTCCCTCCCAAACGTCCTCCTGTTGTACTTGTCCGTCTAACAGCAGTCGATGTCGAGCTAGACCTGCTACGACCTGCTGTCCCAGGATCACGCACCTGGAGCGGATTGATATCGTATACAACAGCGGTTCCCTCACGGTTAGGTTTGCCATTTATAAGTGCCGATACTGGTATGGCGATGTAGCGGTTGTGGCTAAAAGCGACAGGACAAACACAGGCCAACGCGAACAGGATATAGAATTTCATTCTGCTGCATTACACGTGGAAACCTGCAGGAAAAAATATAAAAAAACATTTTTTATTTGCATACAATCACTAAACATTTTGTTACCATTTATTTTCGAAAAAAGAAATCAAATAATAAAGTATGTATGAGGATAAATCCTGTTTAATCATGCATTTTTGTCGTGTTGAATTATTTATCACTCTAAAATATTGTTACCGTTACATCGATATGTCAGTTTAATAGAGTTTCGTTTCGTCTATCGTTTGGTTTTGTGTCAATGGCAAACATGACTGGTGCACAGGAATGCATGACGGGTAAACAGGAATACATGACTGGTGCACACGAATACATGACGGATAAACAGGAATACATGACGGGTAAACAGGAATACATGACTGGTGCACAGGAATACATGACGGGTAAACAGGAATGGATGACAGGTAAACAGGAATACATGAATGGTGCACAGGAATACATAACTGGTGCACAGGAATACATGACGGGTAAACAGGAGTACTTGACGGGTAAACAGGAATACATGACGGGTAAACACGAATACATGACGGATAAACAGGAATACATGACAGGTAAACAGGAATACATGACTGGTGCACAGGAATACATGACGGGTCAACAGGAATGCATGACTGGTAAACAGGAATACATGACTGGTGCACAGGAATACATGACGGGTAAACAGGAATACATGACGTGTAAACAGGAATACATGACGGGTAAACAGGAATACATGACGGATACACCAGCATATGTGAAGTGAAAAATTTCGGATATTACTCAATGATTTCTTACTGTATACAGGTCTGATTTTTGATAATGTTATACACCAAATATTTCCTTACAATACCAGTTTATATGATAGTATGTATATATTTAACAGTGGAGTGTTTATATTAGTCAGTGGTGCGTATGACATACTAGGCTGACCAAAGGCCAGAGATTGCATGCTTTGAATACGCCATGAGAGACTAAATCGTATAGATATATTTTTTTAGGAAATATTTGGTGTTAGGCAAGGAGATGCACTTTATTCCATGTACTCAAAAAAACCAAGAAAACGTGTTTTTATAATAAAAAGGCATCGTGGGATAAGTATAAAACTTTCACAAATTAAACATCATCATATAACTTGCTTATCCCAACATGCCTTTTATGTACAATCATGATCAGCCTTTATTTTTGGATATAAACAGAACAATTGATAAAGCAATGAAATGGGTTAACTTTAATGATTAAAACACACAATTTCCTTGAGGCTTGCAGACTTAAAATTACCAGCAAATAAAACTTCACATATTAAATTAATCATTTTACAGTATATGTAGTTGTAGCAAATGCCATTTTTTTATTTTCAAGTTAACTTTGATAAGTACATTTAAGAAAACAAATCAGGACATTGAACTCCCTTCATCCACAGGTGTTAAGCAGCTATGATATATATAAGATACAATATTAACTATTAATATCTTATATAAGTTTGAGAGATATTTGAAATTGCCAAGATTGAGATGTGTCCAGAAGCCATAACACAGTATAAAACAAAAAGGGAAGTGTGTAGTGAAATAGGCATTTTATGTAAGTGTGCTCAAATGAGTAAAGTTGTAAATTTCAACTTAAAAAATGTAAATTAGAAGGAAATTATTGAGAAAACAAAACACGTTTTTTTTGAAAACTACCAAACACATTTCCCCTGACCTAAGCCTTTATATTAACAAACTTTAAGTGACGATAGAATTTCGGTCATTTTTCATTTTTTCTTTTATATATGCCTGTTTAATTTACACATGTTTCCAAATAAGAGAAATGGAGTAATTTTGGTTGTTTTAGCTCAGGTTGAAAACAGCAAATTACATTTCTGATTTACCCTACCCCTTTTGGTACCCCAAACCCTGCTTTCGGTCAAACTTTTGCCTTCGATTTTGCGCATGTGGTACAAAAAGACATCAGCAGTAGGGAAAGTGGTGGTTCTGGCCCACTTTTCTCCATTGGAGATGTTTACCCGTCATTGTCACCTGGAAAAGGTGTACCTCATTACAAAGGGCCCACGACCCTTTAAACTACACACAATATCTAGTATTTTAATTGACCTATAATCAAAGGAATTTCCATGTGCACCCCATCAATATCTATTCAAACTATAACAAAAGAGAACTACCCCATACAATTTAAACAATGGCTCCTTTGTTCTCAAACAATAGGAATTTCTATGACGTCATCGGGTATCCTCCCAAGAGGGAGGATATCCTTCGGAGGATATCTTTTCCCTATGTTAATCCAATGGAGAAAAGTGGGCCAGAACAACCACTTTCCCTACTACTGATGTCTTTGAACAAATGAAGGAGGTGAAAATCTTGATATACCGAGAACCAGAAAAGGGGCCTTATAGACACTCATCCTTTGAAGCGTAGGTACATGACTAAACTGTTTACTTTCGTCTCAACATGTGCGAATTCATTTTCGCAGAAAAACGCAAAAAAATCACTACCTTAAAAATTGTTTTTTAGCTGAATATGATATAATACATATACTTAGGAATGTTCTTTTTCAATATCACTTTCTTCGTGTTCATGATTTACACAATATTCAACATATAAAAGAGTTCGCGAAATGTTCAGTGAAGCGAAGCAGCGGCTTATAGAGTAATGACTCAAAAATACATGAAAATAAACTTCAATTCATCTAACAGCAAGTATGAAAATATCACTTGGAATATAAGGAAGAAATTACCTATTCAAAAATTTGGTTTGCCAATACAGGAAGACAAGCCAAATTTTTATTTTACTACAATTTGATAAATTTGCATAATTTATATGATATGATGCGTGTTGGCACAGACATTCATAAAAAATGATGTTTCATTTCCTTCTCAATAAGTTTTTAATTTCATTATAAGTCACATTTGTTATAATGTTTGACAGCTACAAATAAGACATATATATATATATATACCCGACCAATTACTGAAGGGGTTAAATATGTACGTTTTGTCCTATATATTTCAGGAACTAATAAGGTTAATAATTCAGGTGAAGATATATACCAATTAACATTCGTCATCCTTTTTATGATATTATCATGCAAATAATTAATCATACAGTATTAAATTGATATCAGAAATATGAGTAAGTATTTTACCGTCGATATACATTTATATAGCAACTTGATTTAAATATTGAAATAAAATGTCTCTCGAAGGCATGACTATTATTCATCTCAATCGAATGCAAATATTCATAATCAAGGCATGTCAATGGATATTTCAGGTTTGAACCAAAACAGTAATGTAATATTATTCAGTAATTATTTAAATATTAAAATATATATATTTGTTTTACGTCGCATGGGCAAGAGCTACACCGAAGATCAAAGGGATTTAACTGACACATTCAGTACAATCAGAATATATACAAATGTATTAGAAAATAAATTAACCTTTTCACCCAAGAAATATTTAAAGGTTCTGAATTGTTGTTGTCTTGCTTAAACAGTTTAACAAAAACCGACCTCGAGGTGTATAACGTCACTGTACCCAAATCAGGACATGGTTTGGATATATATCAATGTTCTGTATACCATACTATCAGTTCCGAAAATGTTTGTTCCTTTCTCCTAAATAGATAATCTTTACTTTTCGAGTTGATATGTCGGGCGCGTATTTCTATAAGTACACGCGAAATACCTATCAGGGTTACGTAGGCCCTTGAACCGGTGTAACTGTACCCTGAAAGGAACACATCAGGAAATGTGGCTAATATTCTGGGATAAACGACTAATATAAGCGGAAAAGAAGACATATTTCAAATAGTTTAAAGTCAAACCGGGTTAGGATTGATTACCTTCTCCAAACTAGCATTAGTTTAGATAAAATAGACATTTGAAAATGATATCTACTTAATTAGTGTCGCACGGCACTTATATCGGGAAAGGTTTGGATTGGTCATTATTCTTACCTTTAAATTGTCCATGTAACGATAACCAGCAGCCAATAAAGTTTAATTGTCATAAAAGTATTGTCAAATGAAAACTGTATACATAAAAGTACTTCTTTGCATTGAATGACAGTTTCTTGGGCCGTTTTCCCATAGGTGTCCATATTTGGGTAAATTGACAAAACCAACAATAGGAAATGAGAATATGCCGGAATTGTGATAACATCATGAACCCCAAAAGAATTGACAGGGCGATGAAACCTCGTTATAATGTCGTTTTTTTATACTTTTGTACTGCCAATGTATATATATGTTCTCTTTCCCTCTGTTTTTTTATCACATATAACATATATTTTTTATATTTATATTATCATTTCATACAAATATCTAAATATATCACCAAACTCTTGGTTGAATAATAGAATACGTCTGGATAAACGTTGGCAGCAAAGATAGGTTCCACTGTATGCTAAAACATAGTTCGAATATAATTACGTTTCACAATTATAAACGCTTAGGCCATGTTTTTTTAAAACATAAAAACAAAATGTCTAGATTTAATCAGATATATATTTATGATTGATTAGTAACAATTCACGTATTTCTAATTCCACCATAATTCTCAATCAGTTACTTATAGATTAGTTGTATTGCTAATTTTATTATTCGATATTTAAGTTTGCAAAAAACCTAACACTTTTTGGAAGAAAGATGAGAATCTAAGCACAACTCCTCAAAAGATGAATATCGTATTGTTGATGAAGGTGAAACCCCGTCTATCGATCTGATACCACGCATAATCGCTATAATATGTTTTGAGAAATAAAGCCGAAAATGTTTTCGATACAAATGAGCGAACTTGCCCTTAAGAAAATGCGCATATCACTACTTAGCTGTCGTGTGTGCGAATCTTGTAGTAATTTTGTAATGGTAAAAATTAGAATAGACATTCAACACTAAATGACACTAGTTAAAATTATTTAAAAAAGACATTAAGTTAAGTGTCACCCCCCTATCTGGAAGTTATAGCACACCTGTGATATTGTATACCTGTACTTACCTGTGATCTGTAGTGAAGCGTTGCCCAGCACAGTTACCGGTCACTGATATAAACCTGGTTTATAAACTCTAGTCTGATATCACCTGTCACCTTTATGACATCAGTGATTAATCACTTATACCGCTCTGTTTGTGTTAAATTCTCAAAATTGATGAATATACGGCTACGTCCTTAGGAAATGAATGTTAGAAGTTATATTGATAAATAGCTCTTAACTTTGACACGCTGTGTAAATTGCATTAATATTCACCTCGTAACTACGTGACTGCAATACCTGGTTTACTTTCGCAACCATCTAATTTCTTACAAGTAAAACCTAGATTTCTGGGGGAAAGAGATACATCGTCCGCTTAGAAATAAGTTCAGAGAAGCTTCCACAGTTGATGAAATTCTGAAAGGAATCCATTAGTCTGGCCATAAGAGTAAAAGATTCCACAGAAGTGCTGACAATTACCACGATACCTAGAGGGATGAAACATAATAACCATGTAAAAAACCTATCAAAATCACCATTTAAAGTCATCTTGGTAAATTCTTCAATTGAAGGAAATTTAGAACAAAAATCACAGCATCAACGGACAAACAAGTCTTTATGCTAGCAGTGGGAGGCTGCTAACATTCCGAAACTTCTGTTCCCATGTCACAGAATGCAAGTTTAAGAAACGCACCAGGAATTTTGACTCCGAGCTTCGCGATCTGGATGAGTGGTTAAGGTTTCAAGCTCATTTGAAAAGTGGGAAGCAGCTTTATTTAGTGCCTTACATACTCCAGGACTAGCGCTTGTATTATAATATTTATCTCAGAATAGGTTAAGACTAGTGCAAACAGGTCGTGTTTAGTTAGCGGGTGTTGTGTTTTCAAACTTAGTTCCTTTTTAAAATGATATATTGCAATTCATATGATTACGTTAATTTCAATCTGCCAAAAATACAGTGCACACGGGCTGTCTTCATGTAACTCCTCATGTAAAAATGTTAATCCTCCAGCATTAGAGGCATACGAATTTCATTATTTTAGTGCATATTTGCAAGTAATGATTGATAGAATTTTAATCCATTAGCATTTGTCAAATGCAACCCGATTTGTGTTTTTCCCAACGAGGCAATCTGTTCGTACGATTTATTACCGAATATAAGTCTTATAAGCAAAGCATGTAAACTACTAATATTAACAGACAGATGACCTATTGATATTACAGGTTACCGTGTCAGTAACAACATAAAGAGTGTGACTAGTGAGTATATAAGTAGACAGCTCCACACCAAATCTCCTTCAGGTATTAGATTGTGCATGACTTGAAAATGAGTTAGTCTGCACAACACACGATGGCAGTACTTGGTATTGATTTCCTTTTATACTTTTTAACGTTTTTATTTTTTTCCGAGTTTCTTTGATGTTGAATGCCGTGCTGTTTTGAATGACGCAATTAACACAGAGGTGTGTAATGTCACGTTATGTGTTTTATGGACCAACGGTTATACATTAAATCTCGAATAAATCCGGCCGATTTGAAAATAGACCGACATTGAAAATTAACATGGGATTCCCTGCAGACAATTTTTCATAGGTATTTGTCATTATTGCAAAAACTTGGTTTATCATGGTAAGTTAATGACGTTTACAAGTTGTTTTGCTATGACGACAATGCAGCGTCAAATAAGGTTCTGTTCGTTGCGAGGAAAGGGGTAAATCAGTTTTTCTTAAATATATATTAACAGCGATAATGGAGATTTTAATAACTATCACATACATATCAAACATAATTACTTCGATTACTTTTAAACAGATCTTCGAGCGTAATTATAATTTAATTGGACACATTTTGTTACAGTTTTGTCCATATTTCTAATAAGATCATGAGTTTGACATTAAAACTTTCTTCTAAACTAGCTTTCATAAACCGGTCTAATTTTTACATCTTTTTAGATCTAAAGAAAACATTAAAAACTGAAAAATTATTTATCAAGTATATATATATATATATTTATCAAAAACTTTTCTTATGTTATAATTACAGTATAAAGCCAACCTTTATTTTACTTTCTATCTTTAAAAGAGGAGATCAATGCTTTGCTAAATCATTTAATAGCATGTGGAACATTTCATCAAACACGATGGTATCCGTGTTTTCCTAAAATGAAATCCCTTTGATGTATTAATACATTTACATATATTATTAATAGCACATGGCTTATTTTTATAAACTTTTTTGATGATTTGCATATGTTGCGTTCTGCCTATCAACAATCATCGAATATAATCCATCAAATAACATACGACTAGAAGGAAGATTAGGGAGTTACTAAACTGAATTTTACATTCTAAAATAGTTAACTGTCATTAAGCTTAAATGCAATGAATGATGCTTTCTATACATATGTATGTAAGAGGTAGGCTAAGATGCATCAAATGTATTTTAAATTCATCACTCAAAGCTGCCAATAAGAAAGGAAAATTCAAAAACAAATCAGAACAAAAAAAAACACAACCAAATAACCAAACAAACAAAATATAAAATTAAAACAACAACAGACACAACAGAGTAGTAGACACTGAAATACGTTTTTTTAACTATGAGACTCTTCATCATAAAAATTGCAAACAGAAAAAATACGTTTTTTATTTATGTTTTGTTACACTGAAATTTCTTGAAGCTTTTATACTTAACTTTAACAATGAACATTAAACGGGACAGAATTATGTATTTAGGGTTTTCTAGACTATTATTCGAGATTGCTAAACTCATCAACACTTAATTCTTAATTTAGCATAAGGCAGGAGTATAATACCCTTTTTTTCTTTTTTTAGATTGAATTGGATTCTTATCATATCAAAAAGTGGAGAAATGTGTCAGGGGACAAAGTTGATTGGCCTGTATCAAAGCGATATGCGTGGTTTGTTTATAGCAGGTTATTTGTACCGACTGAAATAAGTCACGTCATTCATGGACCGTTACACATTTCTGTTTATATGTCATACTCACAACGCCATGGCGATGTAGATTGATAATATATTTATGACTTAACACTTTGTGAAGTACATTGTTTTAAGTGTCTGTTGTTCTGAAGACGTATTTCAGTACGTTGTTATGAGTGGAGCAAAGAAATATTAGTGAAGTAATCAAACGCGCTCTACCTATCGACTGGCCATTACTCTATTCCGTCTTTGCGTATTGCAGAGTTATCTTCTCTTGGGAGAAGGTATTGATTGTTACGTCACTTGTTTGTGAGAGTAACGTCATCAACTTTTGAGAAAACGACGTAATTTTCTCGCACAAACCAATGACGTAACAATCAATACCTGCTCCCAAGAGAAAATAACTCTGCAATACGCAAAGACGGAATTCGTATAAAAACGACTATATATATCAATGAACATCGTAACCTCTGCTTAAGAAACATTGGCTAGATTACAATTTCTCTTCCTCCCCAAACACTTCATCCTCTTTTCTTTTATCTTAGACTTGCTCTTTCCTTCCTCTGGTACATCACTTCATATGATCTAAACTGTTGGGCGGGCGTTAAAAGTTACACCCTATTCCAGTTTAGAAAACAGATAATTAAAAAACTCTTTAAGGGGACAGTAATGTCATTTTTATTTTACTCGCAAACAGAATAAAATACGATAAATATTAACATCCACGAACTCTTTCCCTTCCTGATAGAGACTAAGTAATAAAAGCGAACTATTAACGGCGTTCGATGGAATTTAAACCTTGACAAAACAGTGTTGCAGGAAATTGTAAACCTGACAAACATTTTACAGGAAATTAGAGCGCCATCATTTTTTCTTGTGTTTTATAGTATGATGATTGAATGTAATAAATCTGCACTACGTTCAAATTAACCCTAGTAAGTAATCTATTCCCTTCAATTTGAAGTTTAATGTTTATTTGACGGAATACAGATCGTGTCTGACATTGTTTTGTATCTTAAAATTAAACATGTAAAAACATATCGTTATAAAGCGTCTGATATCCTTGAAATAATAAAGAATGAAGTATACATTGGCATGTTTTCCTGAAATGACCCTTAGATTTGTCAAAGTTTATTTTTCCTAGTTAACAATCATTGCCTTTGAAACAGAACGATTTACTCTTTCATTCTAATCTATGATACAACAAAGATTTGTTTCTCGGTTTCTCAACTGCAGCGCACATATGTCAGTGATATCTGTATGAACAAAGGTGGCGGAGAAACATTGAAACGGAGCTATACAAATTAAAACATCCTTACAATATTCATAAAACATTTGTTTCGTAATGTATACCACTTATATTTCATAAAGTGGAATGGCCACTGTGATATCTTTATATAAATCATATTCAACATAACAAATGTCATTGTCTTACAGAAATATGCGTCTATTAAACTCATAATCCGGATATTTGCTCTATGAAACAGATTTCCAGAACAGAAAAATATCCTCGTAATATCTACGTTCTGATGCTAGAATAATTTTATTGGGAAGTGACATTCAGCCTTGGGATTTTATCAAGACATCAGATACATACGGCAAAGTTTCTATTCAAACTTTAATAGTCACAACTCAAAAAATAATCTTTTACCTACGAAAATACAAGAGATTCCAGAAAAATATCAGATATAAACGATCGTCAACATTTGGAAAATAAAAAGTTTCCGATATCCTAAATTCGTTAATACATACCACTCCGATGATTTCCTTTGCACGAAGAAAGCGAGGTCCGACTGTATAATAGCAACATCTTTATAATGAGATTGGAAAGCAAACAAATGGTAGCATTAACTAAAACATATATTTAATCTTCATAACGAAATACAACATAATCTCCAGTTAATGTGCAGATAAGAATTAAGATGTATATGTACAGGTATAACATCATCTTCTGGTATAAACTACTCTGTCCTTGTTAAACAAAAAAGAAACACATTTTCTGTATTTGCATTCTTCCCATTAGCAGTCTGTCACTCCGTGAAGTAAAAAGGTAGCTGGCGTAACGTAGATATCGATGCCTTTCTTTATTTTATAAAGTTTGAATATTGTATCCCCTTCTGATGGAGTTTAAGGCGGTCATTATATATTTTTTGAGAAGAATGTAAGACACACACGGAATTGCACCTATACATGTGGTA